CCCTAAATAATGATGCTGACACAGACACAAAACCAGAATCACACCAGAAACATGGGCAGAAGTGGTCATCAAACAACTGGAGTTTCCATCCTAGGAATGTGGCATCACTATAAAACTGAAGGGATACTAGTTAGCACCACAGTTGGCCATTTATTGTCAGATATTCAGCATTTGTTGGCGCAGCATGCAAAGACTGAGATTTTATTTAAAGAAGAACTCCAGGCAAAACTTTTCTTAACCTTTGCAGTGTGGCTACCTCTGAACTGCAAACATTAAAAGAGAACTATGGGGTAAGTATTTTTCCCTATTGTTCTCTTTAGGGTCACGGGAGGACGTATAGTAACCCCCTCCCGTCACCCAAAGCAAACAATTACACATTAAAGACAATGGGGGGAATTTATCAAGACTGGAGCAGACAAAATCTGGAGCAGATTCGCACTGCAACCAATCAGATTCTCTGTCTCATTTTCAAAATATTGTATGCATTGGGCTACTGCTCCAGATTCTGTCTCCTCTAGTTTTGAGGAATCCCCCTAATGTGCAATGGCATTTATGATCATGCCAATTGGTTAGCAAAACTTGGGCACTTCAGTGAGGAAGGGGCCAGGGGCATCCCCGGGGAGAGGGGGTGTCACCCTTTCACCCGAAGCAATGCATTTTTTTTTTAAATGTTAAGAGCTATTATTGTACAACCACCTACATCTGGATATCTTTAATATCTTTTATAGACCAAATAATCAAAATATGTGGTTGCCCCTTAGATGGATTTGGTGATATGAAGACAAAAGCATCTCTATGCTATTTCTGGGCTTGGTTCCCACCAGCGCAATCCTTTCCAGACCAGAAAAATACTGCTTGTCCTATTTTGTCTGGTCTTGAATGCACTGGAACGCATCAAAACGCATGGAACGCACCTGTAAGACCATTTTAAGCTAAAACAAAATGTAAAACAGCTTTGAAATCACGGTAAAAATGTGGCAAAAACGCAATACACTATGTTTCAGATCTGATCCGAAAAATGGTGTGAACCCAGCCTCAATTGTATAGTTTAAAATGCATTAGAAGTAACAGTACTTTCAATTCTTTTATTAAATCATCCCACACAATTATTACCTTTTGTATCACTTGCCCCTCCTAATAGATTGTAAGCTCTCACGAGCAGGGCCCTCCTACTTCCTGTACTGAAATTGTATTGTTCATTGTATTGTCTCCCTCAATTATGTAAAGCGCTGTGCATACTGTTGGCGCTATATAAATCCAGGAAAATAAAAATAATTAGTTCAAAAAGGAATGTTCCCTCTGATATAGTTCCATGATTCTATTATGTAATAGCTGCAGGGCAGGATAACGTAACCAATGATGACTATAGACTTCAGGCAATAAGTAATTGGGAGAACAATTACATTTTTACCAATTGCTTTTACCCACTAATATCATATTTGTTCCTGTGGAGAGGAAACTTTGCAGAAGGATTGCCAGTAGTGATGACTCAAACATACTTGGATTTGGTTTGGGGGGGTTGCAAACGTTTTTTACGTTCAGGTGCTGAATCCAAATTCCATTAATGTCAATGGGAGCGGAATCTTATAATCTTATAATTCATTAATGCCCATTTTCTAGGCTAAAAGGAAAGGGATTGACTTGCCAGAAGCTGTACTGTTAACATTGGGGTGAAAATAGAACAGTTTTTATTTGTTTACTATTATTTACTAAATGTACTAAGTCTGGAGCAGACAGACACTTGAGCAGCTGTGCATAGTAACCAAACGGCTTCCGTCTTCAGCTTGTTCTGCTAAAATGGAAATACAGGGAAAACAATAAACAATTTCTGGGAGCTAGGGATTTGTGGCAGAAGACACATGCAGATTCTCTTCTCACTATAAAATTCTTCCTTTCTCCCCAGCTATTTTTTATTTTCTGTGTACACTGTGCAGTGCATGCCGTGCGCCACACAGTGTATACACGCAGCTCATTCATGGCATCTCTAAAATGCTGTGAATCAGCCAGGTGTTGGGAAGGATGTAACTCCTGCGTGAGAGATGATTTGAGGATCTACAGCCGAGTGATACACAAATAAGATACGCCCCCCTACGCTCACCTCATTTGCAGGTCTGTAGGGATGCAGGTTTTCTGGCCGGGACGCATACATGTTCCATTCCGGCGGCGTAGCCCCATAGAGAAGGACGGGGGCTGCGTTCTAATCACACGCAGCACCTGTCCTTCCCGGCAGCTACTTGGTACGGCCACGCACGCAGCACGGAGCTGTACGTGCAGGCCGATTCGTGTGTGAATGAGGCCTTAAAGTCAGGAGTTAAACCTTTAAAATGCGTCCAAGTGCCCTAACTATTAACAAAAATGTATCTTATTTGTGTATCACTCGGCTGTAGAGCCTCAAATCATCTCTGAATTGGTGCTGAATAAGATACGCCCCCCTACGCTCACCTCATTTGCAGGTCTGTAGGGATGCAGGTTTTCTGGCCGGGACGCATACATGTTCCATTCCGGCGGCGTAGCCCCATAGAGAAGGACGGGGGCTGCGTTCTAATCACACGCAGCACCTGTCCTTCCCGGCAGCTACTTGGTACGGCCACGCACGCAGCACGGAGCTGTACGTGCAGGCCGATTCGTGTGTGAATGAGGCCTTAAAGTCAGGAGTTAAACCTTTAAAATGCGTCCAAGTGCCCTAACTATTAACAAAAATGTATCTTATTTGTGTATCACTCGGCTGTAGAGCCTCAAATCATCTCTGAATTGGTGCTGACACTGTCCTTCCTTCTGGAGGGTGGCTACTTTTGTTCCCCATGGTCCCTGTGTGTGTTGTAAAGTAGTCATTGCTCCCAGCTTGCTGAAGTTCATTTTTCTGAAAATGTAATTTGCCTGGCTGTTTGTGGCTTCAACACTTTCAGAGTCACTGACCGGCAAAAAAGTATGTGAATCAGGAAAATCATTGTGAAATCAAGACTCCTAATCTGCATACTTCTTCCAGCTTAGCTACTCAGAAGGTACTGAAGCTACCGGATCAGCATAATAGACAAGAAACTGGCATTTAACAAGGCAAGGTCAGCCATGGCACCCTCCATACCTCTTTATTAAAGGGTTGCTTTAAAAAGCTCAAACACAGTCCATAGTGCTGTACATAATAGGATAATGCTGATTTGGTATGGGAGACACCTAGCTTTGCTGTCTGTAGTGTTATATCATTATCTCTCGCCTTTTATCTAGTATGATAAGGCGTAGATCAGTTTTTGTTTGCACTGTTTGAACAGGTATGAAGTCTACATGAGACTGAAGGTGATAGTTATGTAAAACAAGCACATCACAAACACAAAATAACAACCTTGTATTGACATTGTATTTACAAGAGTCACCAGGACTGATGCCTGCAATGATAACAATTTGGGAAATCTTTGCATTGCAAAAAGATATATTTTCACCATGCCCTGTAAACAGACACTGCATACCTAGATCCATCCAGAAAGATCATACAGCATTGCATAACAGGCTCTTCTAGAAAAGCTGCAATAACTAGGCAGCTACATTTCCCAGCATTATTAATTATTTTCATGATACCTTGACCGTTTTATCTACAGTCATAAATGACTATATACTCCCTCTGACAAGTAGGCTGGCTGGCTGAGTGTGTGCTGGAGGTGGAAGGGGAGATGCAGATATAGGGAAGCTGTGGGCACACAGTCATTTGTGGAACTACAAGTCTCAGTATGTCTTGAGAATCAAGAGCTGAAAGAGGCAAGCTGGGTCTTGCAGTTCCACACCTGGGGGTATTTGATGGTGCTGGGCTTTGTTGTTCCATGACAACTATTCAGAGCTTAGCAAGACGGGCTGGGTTTTGTAGTTCCACATCAGAGGGTATTTAATGGTGCTGGGCTTTGTTGTTCCATGACAAATATTCAGAGGTTAGCAAGGCAGGCTTGGTTATGTAGTTCCACATCAGAGGATATTTAATGGTGCTGGACTTTGCTGTTCCATGACAAATATTGAGAGGTTAGCAAGGCAGGCTGGGTTTTGTAGTTCCACATCAGAGGGCATTTGATGGTGCTGGGTTTTGTTGTTCCATGACAAATATTCAAAGGTTAGCAAGGCAGGCTTGGCTATGTAGTTCTACATCAGAGGGTATTTAATGGTGCTGCGTTGTTCCATGAGAAATATTCAGAGGTTAGCAAGGCAAGCTGGGTCTTGTAGTTCCACATCAGAGGGTATTTGATGGTGCTGGGCTTTGTTGTTCCATGACAAATATTCAAAGAATAGCAAGGCAAGCTGGGTCTTGTAGTTCCACATCAGAGGGTATTTGATGGTGCTGGGCTTTGTTGTTCCATGACAAATATTCAAAGAATAGCAAGGCAAGCTGGGTCTTGTAGTTCCACATCAGAGGGTATTTGATGGTGCTGGGTTTTGTTGTTCCACGACAAATATTCAGAGGTTAGCAAGGCAGGCTTGGTCTTGCACTTCCACTACAGGCAATTAGGGTAACTGGGCACACTGGGTGTTGCAGTTTCACAAACAGCTTTTTTCATGTTATCAGGGCATGCTTAGTCTCGAAGTTCAACAAACTGTCAATGTAAACTGGAGCCGAATGCCCTACACAACATGCCTATAAAGACTTAAAAGACCAGCTACTTATAGCTCCACTTCAGGCATGTATAGGTTAGGAAGGCTTGCTGGACTTTGTAGTTTCATAGCAAGCTCCTGACACTTGTGCTTCCGCTGCAGCTGGTTCCCCATACCTGTACATTAGCATGGCTTATATATACTGTATATATAGACGCTGTTATAATGCAGGTAAATATAGAGTTCTCATAGAATAGGTAGCATGTTGGCTGGGAATATCAAGCTCCCAATAGAGCTGGTGCAAGGACACACCGCCCCCTCCGTCAGCGACCCCTCCTGAGCACACAGTTCAAGCTAATCATTGACAGCACTTTTACAATTCAGTTCTATAGAGCAGCTGAGATAAGACAGTGCAGCGCTGGCTGTAGAAGACAGCAGAGCAGGGTCAGTGGGATATCTATTCTCTCTGCAGACCCTTGGTCACTGAATGGAAGACTCTCCATCCTAATTCATAAAAGAAGCCCCAAAGCAAGGAGACCAGAGAGGGGGACCATGGATGCAATTTGGCTTAAAGGCTGCTGGATCTTTGCGGTTTTGCTTTGCACAAGGCAAGTCATAGGTAGACCAGGAGAAGGCAGGAAAGTCTGGGACAGGACGAATCAAGTGAACCCCTTAAATGACAGTCAACTCTTTACCCATGGGACATTCCCCAGTGATTTTCTGTGGGGTGTAGGGAGCTCCTCTCTACAAGTGGAAGATGACCACTCCAACAGAGGACAATCTGTATGGGACCAGTTTATGAAATCACGCCAGCCCTGGGTGGCAAACCGCACGTCTGGGCACCGTGAAGGCATCTCAGACAGCTTCCTTAGAGAAGAGCTGCCAGCATTGGAGCTCCTAGGGGTGGATTTTTACCATTTCTCCCTGTCATGGCCAAGGCTTTTCCCACAGGGTAATAACATTCCCAGCGAGCAGGGAATCCTCTACTACAACCGTATCATCAATGTTCTCCTTAGCAAGCGCAAAGAGCCCATCATCACCCTGTACCACTGGGACCTACCTATGCCCATCCAGGAGCAGTACGGCGGCTGGGCAAACCAGAGTGTCATCCATCTCTTCAATGAGTATGCAACGTTCTGCTTCCAGCAGTTTGGCGATCGGGTGAAATATTGGATCACCATGCACAATCCTTACCTGGTAGCCTGGCATGGTTATGGCACAGGGACCCATGCGCCTTGGGTGAAAGGAGGTGAAGCAAAGGTGGCAGCAGTGACCCACAACCTCATCAAGGTAAATCAATGTATATCCAAATGTTTCTCTGCTGTGATTTATATTGCCTACCTGTTTATGACACCAGATATCTGCTGCCTATCTTCTGGTGCTTGTTGTCAAGTTGTCTCAAGTGTCCTCTAAATTCTGTGCAGTTATTGATAGGACCCTTTCATCATTAATATAATTATAAATGTTAAGGGGCTCATTCACACTATGTCCAGTGACCTGTGTTTTTGTGCTCAATACAATTGGTTTCCATGGGTTCTGTTCACACTACAATGCTGACTTGACGTGGGTTGCCGCGCGTTGCGGAAAAATGTAGACATGCAGCAGTTTTCTGCAACGCTTTAAGGTGCCCATACATCTTACGATTATTGGACGAAACTTTTCTTCCGACGATCGAATATTCATACGATTTTCGTACGGCATCCTGCCCCGATGATCGCAAGAATCATTTAGCCGTAATTAACGAAAAGCACCTGGACGAAATGCGGTAATTGATTTGCCGTATTTTCGTTAGCGCAAGCGCAGTGTACATCGTACGGCTTTTGATGGACGGAAACGCCAGCAACCTTACGACAATCGTACGATCTAGCAAAGTTTTCAAACATGCTTGTCCGTCAAAAGTCGTACGATTGTACAGTATTGTCGGTCGGACATTGCAATGCACACATACGATTATCGGACGAAAAGTCGATCGCATACGAAAATCGTCCGATAATCGTAAGGTGTATGGGCACCTTTAGACACATAAAGGGCCGATTCACACCAGATGCATTAGGGCTGCGCGGTCCATTGTTTCCAGCACAGCCCCAACGCGAGACAAGGCAATTTGACTTTTCACGGAGGGGGATCAGTTCACACCACCGTGTTGCGATGGGAACACAGTGGTGTGCGCTAAAAACGGTGTGACATGTTGTAGTTTTTTTCAGCGAAGCAGGATGCAACACTGTACAACCGTCTCATACCCCACTGTGCCTGTAGAAGTGAATGAAATGTCACTTTCAATAAAATTCGACCCAAAAATTAAAAATAAAACAGTGCAATGTGCCAGGAGTGGCGCATTTACACTGTCGGGGCACTGCATGCCATAAGCTGTGCAATTAATGCAGCGTCTGCTGCAAATGGGCCCAACATACCTCAGCTGTTGTGCATTAACTTTATAATGAAGTGTCATTTTATGTCACTGCCAATACACAGTGGACACTGGCCCGCACAGAAAAACACTGCAGGCTAGTGGGAATGGATCTTTGGAGCTTGTCCACACCATCCTATAAGAAAATGTACGTGTTTTTCTCAGGTTGAGGGCTTCTTCACACCATCTGTGAACGAGCTGTTCAGACCTGAACGCAAGAAAAGACAATTTGCCTTGTCATGTATGTTGACAGTACTTTTTTAAAGTGTGCCTTAATGAGACACAGTACAACCGCATCTCACAGCAGTGAGCCCATAGAACTTAATGAAATGTCACTTGTGACATTCCAATAAAGTTTTAACAATAAAAAAGAAACTGCAATGTGGCTCGATCAAGCGCATCAGCAGTGTACGGGCACATGCACAGCAGCAGCCGCACAGTTGAGTGCAGCTACTGGTGTGAACAAGCAATATTCATGCAATGCTGGAGATATTATATCCATCTGATGCTTCTGAAGCGAGTCCAGAGGCCAATTTAGTGTGCTGTGTGGAGTGCACATTCACACAAGTTACTTTGCTGGGCTCATTTCCTGGCTGCACACCAGATTAGGATATACAATTCCTGCAGACATTGTGCTTTTAGTGGATTATCAGTGCGTTTTCCTTGCATTGCCATTGACTATAAAGCAACACACTGCCCTCTAATACAGCCCACTGATATAAAGGGCTTCATACATTATAAAGGTATCCAGTGTTCATAGTCTTTTAACTTGCCATGATTCTGCGTTGTAGTGTACATAAAACATGATGGTATGAACCAGGTCTTACTTTTTTTGTAAATGCTGGATGCGGAATATGAAAACTGCAAGGTAAAGTGTATCTACAGCTAAATTCTAGGGGAAGTACCGTATTCGGTAGAAGTACATGTACAGATCCTTTTCTAGCTCCAGGACTAGACTAGAGAAAAATTAAAACGTTAGGAGGCAGCTGTTATTTGTAAGGAGCACACGGAGCTCCTGGGATTGCATCTCTGTTTTAATGTATACATTTTGTTTTACAAACATATATAAAGGGATGCACCGATACCATTTTTTCAAGTACAAGTATACTGATACTTGTCCAAGTACTTTCAGATACAAGTACTGATACATTTTTGTTTATTGTCATGTGACAGTTTTTCTAAAACAATACGGACTAATGATTTCAGGACAGTGGTGGAGCGCCAGAGCCAGGTCCCAGCTGCAACCTCTGCAACCCTGGTAGTTCTCATGAAAATGCCAAGTATCGGCACTGGTATCGGTGCATCCCTACTAAATTCCCTTTTTTAGTTTTGGATATAGTGGTGAGTCAGGTTTTATTGCTGTTTCTGTCCCTGTTAGGAATTTTTTTGTTTTGTTCTGGTGACCACTGATACCAGGACAGAGAGTGAGGGAAAATCCAAAGGTGACGGCATCAATAGCATGGCCATCTCACAATGACCATATTCAATAAAATAGAGCAAAAGAGCAAATGTTGGACATTGAAGCTGGGGCTGCCCGCACTGCAAGGGTTAAATGCCAGATTGTGTCTAGGGTATCATCAAAAAGCAGCTTTACCTACCTCATCCCTCGCTTATCAAGCAGCCGGAGCTCTCCTCTTCTTTGCAACACTTGGTTGTGGGGGGCCCTTTGCTTCTTCACTTACAATGCAGAACTGCAGGTCCTGCATGCTACATGATGATATCAGAGAGCCCGCAAACAATGGAGCATTAAAGAGAGAAGCAGCTTTAGGAGAAGAGGAAGCCTGCAGAAGCAATAGATAGTGGAAATAGAACTGCCTAGAAAAAAAGAGCATATAACCCTTACAGTGCAGGGGGCCCCACTACAAGAGTAGTTTTGAATCTTCCCCAGTGTTCTGCTTTAACAATGAGAATCAGCTTTCATTAGACTGCACAAAGAGCTGTGGTTCCTGCAGGTTACATTGTTATTAAATAAAGGCAATTATTATGTGCTGTGTGGAAAATAAAAGAGCAATACTGTAAACAAAATGTTACAATCTGTAACTCTTTATAAATGAGTTGTCACAGTGCAAGGTGAATGCGGATTATAGATAAACAGATAGACAAAAGGTAACTGACAATCTGTAGTAACCTAGAGCAACCTATTCATCTTTCACTGAATTAAAGTGACAGTAAACTCAGGAATTAAATCTTAAAATTGCATTCAAGTACCCTAACTAGTAACAAAAATATATCACTCAACTGTAGATCCTCAAATCATCTCTGAACTCATGCTGCCACTGTCCTTCCTTCTGGGGGGAGGCTACTTTTGTTCCCCATGGTCCCTGTGTGTGTTATAAAGTATCCACCACTCCAAGCTCACTCCCGTGATAGAACATAACTTCAAAACAAGTTAGTAAATAAAAATGTGAGATTATAGTCTATCACGTGAGCGAGCTGATTCAGAGTCTTCAGCTGAATGATACACAAATAAGATACATTTTTGTTTATAGTTAGGATACTTGAATGCATTTTTAAGATTCAATTACTGAGTTTAGTGTCACTTTAACTTCAGTAAAGGCTTATATAGTAATAGCTTGTGATACTGTTATTATATGAGGTTGTTTTACGATATGAAACAATAACACTGATACATTCAGTTACATTGTTACCTTGTGAGAGTTGACTTTGTGAAACACCAAGGGACTAATGCAGAAACCTTCCACTTCCAAAAATTCCTGTGATCCTGTGCGTTATCTAGTGTTGGTGATGCTGTGTGAATGGCATTCGCCCAGCTTTATGCTTGGGGAAAAGGTTTATACATCAGCCCCATAACATTTATTTTTCTATTATTCATGAATAATTGTGCATAAATACTTGCTGTAAACATTACATGTGGGAATGAAAATTTTCTGTATGAGTGCAAAATAATGATATGAAGAAAAACAGCTTATTTAAAGGAGAACTATGAGGTGAGGGCTTTTCACTCACCTCATAGTTCTCCTTTAAATAAGCTGTTTTTCTTCATATCATTATTTTGCACTCATACAGAAAATTTTCATTCCCACATGTAATGTTTACAGCAAGTATTTATGCACAATTATTCATGAATAATTGTGCATAAATACTTGCTGTAAACATTACATGTGGGAATGAAAATTTTCTGTATGAGTGCAAAATAATGATATGAAGAAAAACAGCTTATTTAAAGGAGAACTATGGGGGAAAGACTTAACCCCATAGTTCTCCTTAGGGTAACGGGAGGACACAAACTAGCGTCCTCCCGTCACCCTGGGCTCAGTATACCGCGAGCTGGAGCTCACGGTATACTGAGCCCAGGGTGACGGGAGGACGCTAGTTTGTGTCCTCCCGTTACCCTAAGGAGAACTATGGGGAAAAGACTTAACCCCATAGTTCTCCTTTAACAGTAAATGTACCTGAACACATACAAAGGAAGGTCAGACTATGTGAACAATCATTCAGAACCATTATTCTTTAAGCATATAATATCAGCTGAGTGTGCATGTGTATGCCCTGTGCAGACATCTCAGAAGGCAGCCAAGATCTGTTGGCTTCAAAATGTTTGAACAGATCAAAAAGAGCCCATATATACAGGCAAATGATCAATGCTTATTTGATTGTTCTTGTCCAGACCAGGTGATAATTATCTTACATCTGAACCTTTCCATTCCACAAGCATGTAAACATAGGGGTACCTTTATAATCTGCTCCTGCAGCTGTTCCAAGCTGTGAGTCTGAATATTATGTAGAAGGCAGCAAAACTATAGATTTCCACTACAGAATTAGCACCCTAGATGTTAAAGGCTAAGTTTGCCTTTAACACCATGTTTCATGATACACCCATATGCCATTTTTTAATCTGATATCAAAGGATCTGTGAATGGAG